AGTGTTACTATAAATTCATGGTTTCCAGTCTCAGCAAAGCCCACATCATGTCTGTCAAAGTTTCATTTTTTGCATGCTTTGTTCTCTTTTGCGTTCCTCTCAAAATTAATACCAAATCATCACAACTGTCGTCTTCTCGGTCTTCACTCTTTCTGCTCTCAAAGATAATCTTAAGTCATTTCAGAGTAATCTTCAACTGATACATAGTAGGGGCTAAGTAAATCTTTGTTGACCAAGCAAATTTCCTATATCTTACCCATATAACTGTATATTTTCCATACTCATTCTTACTATCCACCTCCAGTTTTAGGAGATGAGGGTTAATCCTCCTGTTCAATATCAACATCTCCATCTGTGCCCATAGCCCCTTTCTCTCTCACCTTTTGTGAAATTTTGCACCATCAGTCGTCCTTTCATATCTTCATTCTATCCCCTACTGGTTCCTTTCCATCATTCTGTGAATATGCCTAAGTCTTTAAAAAACAAATAACAACAAAAAGCATTTCTAAGATCCCACATTCCTTTGAGATTTTATCTAATCTCTCTCTTCCATATTGCATCCAAGTTTCTCCAAAGAGTGGTCTTCACTCTCCATTACCAGTTTCTCTCCTCCTTCCATTTCAACCTACCTCAGACTGGCCTTTATTCTCATCATTCCACTGAAACTGTTCTAATCTTTAATCTTACCAAGTTTCTCTATTGTATTCAGCACTGTTGGTAATCCTTTTTTGAAATAATCCACTTGCTTGGCTTCCATGATACATCTGGTTCAATTTATACAATTTGAGCATTTTTTATCAGCCTTTATAATTCCTTCTCCTCTGTCCATGCCTGAAACACTGGTATTTCTCCAGGAATATCTCCTCAGAAGATTGCTCTACACATTCTCCTTGGTTTCAATTATTATGTATTGATAATTCAAATCTTTTATCTCCAGCACAAAAAATGGTAATGGTAATAACAGCCAATTATATAATTATTTGGTTCACTGAATTCCACTCAATTTCATCCAGTTACTGCTCCCTAAGTCCTGCCACTCTATGTCATGTCTTCTTTGCTCAGCAAAACTATCCAACTTTGTGATAGGCAACATAATTCAGAACCAACTTATTAACTTAAAACTGAACTCATTATTTTCCTTCCTTCAAAACCTCTCAACTTTAGTCTTGTCACTCTCCTGCTTAAAACCTACCAATGGCTTCTCAATGAACTTAAAATCAAATATAAATTTCTTCACATGACCTGCAAGACTTCATAGAATGTAGCCCCTCTTAAATTCTTGAATCTCACCTGGGACCATACTCTCATCTCATTATATCCTAAACCACACTGGCTTTTTGTCAGCCTTTGAAGAGTCCAAGCTCTTACTTGCTTCACATATGTTATTCCCACCGTATGAAATATTATTTTCATCATTCTTAGCCTGGACTTGTAAGTTTCTGCTTAAATGCCATTTCCTCAGATAAGCTTTTCTTAGTGACTCACTTTAATTCACGTCCCTCCTGACATCTTTATCATTGTTCTCTTCATAGCCCTTAGAATGTGTTATATTTATATATTTATTGTGACTTTTGTTAATATTCCTGTATCTTTCCCTGGATTCTAAACTTCATAAGGGAATGGATCATGACCCTTTCACTTCCCAATTTAAACCCAAGTCTTAGCACAGAACCTGGTATTTCATAAATACTCAATAAATATATTTTACATGATTGAATTATTCTGCTCTAGCTAGACATCTGGAGTCACCTTGACTTCTTTTTACCTTGACTTCTCTATTCCCTACACCTTCAATGTCTAATCAATACCAGATCTTGCAGATTTTACTTCAGTTTCTTAACAATTTGCTCCTTTTTCTCTGTGCTATTGTTGCTCTGATCCAAGTTCTTTTCATCTCTTGCCTGTACTACTATGATGGCCTCCCAGCTGGTCACCTTGTATTCTGTTTTATCCCCTCACATCCATCCTTCGCACTGCCACCAGCATGAGCTAAAATATAAGTCAGACTCCACCACTCCTCTATGGAAAACCCTTTAATGGCTCCTCATTGCATACAGCATAAAGTACAAACTCTTTGCCTTAGCTTACAAGGCCCCCAGATAATCTGGTTCCTGTTTACTGCACCAGGCTCATTTCTCACCACATCGCCTTGCTTTCTAAGCTTCAAAAACAGCAAACTGCTTGTAATTCCCATACCACATTATATAAGTTTCTTCACATCTCTCTTCTTTGCATACATGCTGTCACTTTTTTTAATTAATTTATTTATTTTTTGTGAGGAAGATTAACCCTGAGGTAACATCCCTTGCCAATCCTCCTCTTTTTGCTGAGGAAGACTGGCCCTGGGCTAACATCCATGCCCATCTTCTTCTACTTTATATGGGACGCTGCCACAGCATGGCCTGACAAGCGGTGCATCAGTCTGTGCCTGGGATCCGAACCTGCGAACCCCTGGCCACCGAAGCCAAGTGCACGAACTTAACCATTACGCCATTGGGCTGGCCACTTTTGTTTGAAGAAATATCCACCCCATCATCATGCCAACCATCCCTTGCTCTCTCTCACCTTTAACCTGGCTAATTCATACTCATTCACACTTGGATCAAATATCATCTCTTCCAGGGAGTCATTCTGACTCTTCAGATTGGGTTACATGCAACTGCCTGGAATTTTACAATGTGCATCTTCATTAGTTTACTTTAATCAATTGTATTCAATTGTTTGCCTTCCCCCTAGGTGGTGAGCTCCTAGGAGCACCCAGTAGATACTTCATAAACATCTACTGAATTAATGACAAAAATGAGGGCCGGCCCCGTGGCTTAGCGGTTAAGTGCGCGCGCTCCGCTGCTGGCGGCCCGGGTTCGGATCCCGGGCGCGCACCGACGCACTGCTTCTCTGGCCATGCTGAGGCTGTGTCCCACGTACAGCAACTAGAAGGATGTGCAGCTATGACATACAACTATCTACTGGGGCTTTGGGGGAAAATAAATAAATAAAATTATAAAAAAAAAAAAAAAATGACAAAAATGAAAATATAATATTCAAAGTTCATCAGTGCAATTGCTGGTAACGGTAATAACAGCCAATGATATAATTGTTTGGTTCACTGCATTTCACTCAATTTCATCCAGTTACTGCTCCCTAAGTCCTGCCACTCTATGTCAGGTCTTCTTTGCTCAGCAAGCTAGAGTTCTGACAACAATCTTTAAACACAAAGAATTCAACACCCTCATTTCTCACTATATAAGTGTCCTCTATGTGAGTTTTCATCTAAAAGCTCCGCAAATTAACATTTTCACATATGTCAGAGCTTGCTCTAAATCTTCTCTGAGGTCAATAAAGTTAATCCCCCTATTAATTACTATAATAATTATATTATTACTATTCCCATATTTCCCATTGTGCTTTTCATTCTTGGCTTCAATATGCTGTCAATCTTCCTTTGATTTGCATACATGTCCTATGTTATTTAATAAAAAATATATTGCCTTATTTTAGAAACTGATATTTTTGAGAAATAGCTCCTTAAAATTTTTTGATTATAACCAATAGTTCAAACTAATTTGCCTAATCTCTAAACAATGAACAATGTTGACCCTTTAATTATGATCAAATTTTAGCTGCTATAGGAATTTTTACATTTTGTTTAAATGACAGTTGTGGTTATTTAAAGTACATAATTATAATTATAGATTATCCAGTATGAATTCACGTTTAGATGCATATATATATACATACATGTATGTAGTTGTGCGTGTGTGTGTGTGTGTGTGTGTATATATATATATGTAGGGGTGTGTGTGTATATTTATATACACACAGAAACAATTATAGATATGTGTGTACACACGGATTAGTATACATACATATATTACTTAGCTCTGTCCACTGAGAGCGTCTAGAAGCAATATCATCTCAATAGCAACGAGATGCACTCATTGCTTGGTTTTTAAATACCATCCTCCAATAAAAAGGAAACAGGGTTTCCTTAGAGAAATGGCTAATTCTAGTATCAAGGGAGAGAAAATACAATTCATGTTACTGTGGAAAAACATAGATGAGTCAAAAAGAAATAAAATACCCATAATGCAGTATTCTTACTTCCTTAGTGTTTCTTTTTATATATATTGTGTGTAACGTGTGATGTGTATATGTGTATTTTTATACAGAAATGGTATAATTTTTACATACTTTTTAATTCTTTTAAATGATTGAATAGTTTTAGAGTGTATGAATGTAGAATTTTTTGCACTGTTATTTCCAAACAATGCTAGGTGAACTAACTTTATAAGTGAATTTTGATGTACTTCGTTAATTACTATAAGAATCTTCCATTGCAAAATGTTGTTCAACTATTTACAAGTCCCTGTCCCTTTGCCCTTAACCTACATTCGATTTGTTAAGCTCTATCTGGAAGGGGTATCTTGTTTTGGCATTCGGTTAAGGTTTTTGTTTAAAACTTTCATTAGGAGTTAAATAATTACCAGTCCATATAGAGGAAAAAATCCATCTCTTTTATACCCAAAATCAACTGTCCTATTAGAGTTTAAAGGATCTTAGGTACCATACAGGATAATTTCTTAGTTTTAGATTAGGAAATTGAGGCTGAGAATGGTGAAATGACTTTCTTCAGATCAAATAGATAATTATCAACTTGGAAGTTAAAAGTCTAGATTTCCTAATTCCAAGTTCAGTGTTCTGTCCTTATCCACAAAGGCTGTTAAGGGAGAAGTGCAAGGTTCTCACCTGAGCTTCTTTATATGATTTGTGTTCGTTGGATCTCTAGATGTGTATTCACTAGCCCCATATTATTTGCCATCTAGATAGCTGGTAGGATTATTTTTAACACAATAATAAGAAGAAAATCAGCTAATTGAAACAGAATAAGAATTATTAAATGGCTAAAAAGTTGCTAGCTTCTTTCAAAAAGGAAATTGATCCTTTTCTAAATTATAAGCTCTTTATTTTCTGTGTTTATAATCTCAGACTATCAAATTTACCCAGGAGGAAGAGTAGTAATCAAATTAAAGGCAACGTTGAAAACTCTAAGGAACTTAAGTTGTTGAATTTCAGAAGGAATTTCTTTGATAGGATTACTTCTCAGGTTCAGTATTTGTAAATTTTGAAGACAAAGTATCTGAGGCACAGAAAAGAGAAACAAAATGAGTAGAATAATAAAGTATGCAAATCCCTGTTTGTTATGTTTTATAAACCGTTTGAACTAATGTAGTAGCATCAGTATAGTAACATTAATTGGCTGTATCACATATCACAACAAATACCTTTGGAAAGCCTTCAAAACAACTGGCCAGCATTAATATGTATTATATGGTAAGACAGTGCAACTGCTGTACTCATATACTCTTGACTCGTGAATGGTTCTTTTCTAAATGGGAAAGTCAATATGTTTCATCAAGCTGATGGTTTCATAAGAGGCAATTATGCAAAGAATGAGGGAGGAAGGAGATATCTGAAGAACCAGGAAAATAAGTTGAATTAACCTTACTAATCAGTGGGGTGTCAGGTATCATAGCCGGATTGTTTTACTCTAATGTCATAGTAATTTTGCATACACTGATTTTTCATATGAAATTTAAAAATAGAATACACTATTTAAATCTATGATCTTTGCTTGATTAATATATTTGTTGCTCTCTGGTGAATCTTAATAAGGTCTTACATTAGCTCCCTTTTACATTAAATTAAACCTTTTCATCATAAAGATCTAAAATTGGTGGAGTAGGGAATGCTCATTCTTGTAATCAAGAAGTATAAGTCCTCCAAGTTTGTTTTTCCTTTTTGAAGATTGTTTTGGCTGGAAAATGCTTTTGGCTTGGAAATGCGAGTCCCTTGCATTTCCATGTGAACTTTAGGATCAGCATGTCAAATTCCACAAAAAAGGCAAGTTGTATTTTCATAGAGATTGCAATGAATCTGAAATTACTCTCTCAATTTGAGAGTAATTGCCATCCTAAAAATATTAAGTCTTCAGATCCATGAACATGGGATGTCTTGCCATCTAAGTAAGTCTCTTAATTCTTTTAACAGTGTTCTATAGTTTTCACAGTATAAGTTTAGTACTTTTGTTAAACCTAGTCCTAAATATTTTATTCTTTTTCATGTAAATAGAATTTTTTCTTAATTTTATTGTCAGGATTGTTTGTCACTAGTGCGTAGAAATACAATTGATTTTTGTATATTGATCTTGTACACTACAACATTGCTAAACTCATTCACTAGTTCTAATAGTTTTTTAGTGAATTCCTTCATGATTTCTATGTACAAGACCATGTCACCTACAACTAGAGATAGTTTAACTCCTTCCTTTCAAATCTATATGCCTTTTATTTCTTTCTCTTGCCTAATTGCCTTAGCTAGAAATTCCAGTAAAATGTTGAATAAAAGGTTCAAAAGTAGACATCTTCACCTTGTTCCTTATCTTAGAGGAAAACTTTCAGGTATTGTGTGTTTTTGTCAGGACAGGATGTCGGATTTTGTAAAATGTCTTTTTTCTGTCTATTGAGATAATTGTGCACTTTTCTCCCTTCACTACATTAATGTGGTGTATTACATTGATTGATTTTTGTGTATTTAACCAACCTTGCATTCTTGGGATAAATCTCACCTAGTCATGTTGTAAAATCCTCTTTATATATTTGGTTTGTTAGCATTTTGTTGAGATTTTTGAATCTATATTCATAAGAGATATTGTTCTGTAGTTTGCTTTTCTTTCCATATCTTTGTCTAGTTTTGGTACCAGTGTAATACTAGTTTAATAGTTTGAATTGGGAAGTGTTCCTTTCTATTCTATTTTTTGGAAGAGTTTGTAAAGGATTGATGTTAATTCTTCTTAAGATGGGTAGAATTCACCAATGAAGCTATCTGGTCCTAGACTTTTCTTTGTGAAAAGTTTTTAAATTACTATTGAAACTCTTTCCTTTTTATAGAGCCATTCGGACTTTGTATTTCTTCTTGAGTCCATTCTTGTGTCTTTTTAGGTATATGCCCATTTCGTCTGTTATCTAGTTAGTTGGTACACCGTTATTTGTAGTATTCTTTGAAAATTTTTTTTATTTCTGTAAGGTTGGTAGTGATGTCCCCTCCTTCATTCCTAATTTTAGTTATTGAGTCTTCTTTTTTTCTTGGTCAGTCTATGTAAGGTTAGTCAATGTTATCTTTTCAAAGTAACAACTCTAGGTTTTGTTGATTTTTCTCTTTTTTTCTATTCTCTATTTCACTAATTTCTGTGCTAATTTTTATTATCTCTTTCCTTATTCTTTGTTTAGGTTGATTTGCTCTCTTTTTCTAGTGGCTTAAGATGGAAGGTTAAGTTATTGATTTTTTCTTTTTTAATTCAGGCATTTACAACTATAAATTTCCCCCTGAACACTGTTGTAGATGAGTCCTATAAATTTTGGTATGTTGTGTTTTCATTTTCATTCATCTCAAAGTATTTTCTAATTTCTCTTTTGATTTCCTCATGAATCATTGGTTATTTAAGAGCATGTTCTTTAATTTCCATACATTTCCAAATTTCTTTCAGTTATTGATTTCTAATTACATCCCATTGTAGCCAAAAATATATACTTTTTGTGATTTTCAATTCTTTCAAATTTATTGAGACTTGTTTTGTAGCCTAACATATGGTCTATCCTGGAAAATATTCCATATGAATTTGAGAATTATGTATTCTGCTGCTTCTGGTTGGAGGCTACCATAGATGCCTGTTAGGTGTAATTGGTTTATAGTATTGTTCAAATTTTCTATTTCCCTGTTGATCTTCTGCCTAGTTGTTCTATGCATTATTGAAAGTGGGGTACTGAAGTGTCTGATTATTATTGTTGAATTTTCTATTTCTTCCTTCAATTCTTTCACTTTTTGCTTTATATACTCTGGGGTTGTATTGAAAGTACATATATGTTTATAATTGTTATTTCATCCTGAGAGATTGACAAAATGTCCCTCTTTATCTCTAGTAACATTGTTTTGTTTTAAAATCTATTTTGTCTGATATTAGTATAGTCACTTCAGCTTTCTTTTGGTTGCCTTTGACAAGCAATATCTTTCCCCATACTTATACTTTTAATCTCTTTGTATCTTTCGATCTTAAGCATATCTCCTGTAGTAGCATGTCATTGGAGCTTGTTTTTTTAATCCAGTCTGACAATCTGTATCTTTTGATTGGATTGTTTGATGTATTCACATTTAATGTTATTATTGACATGGTTGGTTTTACATTACCATTTTACTTATAGTTTTCTATAAGTCTTATGTTCTTTCTGTTCCTCCCTTACTACCTTCTTTTGCATCAACTGAATATTTTTTAGTATAAACATTTTAATTACTTTAATGATTTTTTTTCACTATATACTCGAGTTATTTTCTTAGTGATTGCTTTAGTGGCTGTAACATACATTTTAACTTATCTGAATCTACTTCAGATTTACACTAACTTAATTCCAGTGAGATATGGACATGTTGTACCTAAGTAGTTCTATTCCCTCTTCCTTTTTTTGTACTATATTGTTATACATATTACATCCATATGTGTTACAGACCTAACAATACATTATTTTAATTAATTATTACTGTATATGATTTAATCTTTTAAAGAAGTTGAAAAAAGAAATGAGACCAAGTATATATTTATAGGGTTTGTTATTTTAAGCTTTTTATTTACCATTTCTGCTTCTACCTTTTCCTATCCTAAACTATTTTAGTAGACTCTGTCCTCTGCCTGAGTCCACCGTCTTGAATATTCTATAAAACTTGTAATAATTTCAATTACCACACTTACACCAGCCTCTGGTCTTCTAATCATTGCATTTACACTATGCTAATAACTGGGCATCATTAGCCTACCCTGTGCCCTTCCAAACCTGGATATTTCCAACTTCATTGGAACATTTTATTTATAGCTATATAATACAGATCTGCACTTTAATGGCAAGTTTTATTGATTTCTTTAACTTTTTAAAGGAACACTTTATAATTTACATCTGAAGAGCCTCCTTATATTTATACATTCCTTTTTAGTGGATAGAGTATTCTCTGGCAGGTACTTAAGCTTAATCTATGACTATTTAAAAGAAAGATTAAAATTATTAATGTGAAGAACTAAGATCCCTATATTCCTTGGGAATTCTTGCCAATTTGTCCTAGTCAAATTAATAAAACTGGTATTACGTATTAGAAAAGATAAAATAACTCTTCTAGTGAAAATAAAAACAATATTATAGAGAAATTATGGAAAATATATGTTTGAAATAGAAAGCAAGTCAATTTGCTAGAAATCAATTCACTAAAAGTCAATATTCTGGAAGTCAATTCATAAAACAACCAATAATTCAGTGACCAATGAAGCAATGACTAACGATTGAAAACGTAATCAGTCTTAATTACTCATAATGACTCATTTATTTAAAATGATGCTGAATTAGCCCACCCCATATCTGATTATCCTTGATATGTTTTATTAAGCAGAATATCCTATTTCATCCTGTGATAATTAAAACTTGTTATATCTTCATATTACTGGGTCACTAAACTTTGTTTCTAAAGCTCCTGATTAACACATCGATAAGGTTTATCTTAGGTTTTATTCAAAGTTAGAAGAATAAAACATTTTATGTACATTGTATCATTATGAGAACATATTTGAGAACCTAACTATATAACACAGTCTTTGAGGATTATGTCATGGGGCTTCCTAAGAAAGATGTATTGTATTTTTGGTGCTTCTGAAAATAAGACTTTTGGGATGTAATCCAAAATATATTTACTTTACAGTAACTCCATGGTATCATAAGCGTCTATTTTTAAATTACAACTATTATTCATAATAAGAAATTATTGTAATATACACAATAATAAAATGGACTCACTTCTGTGGGAAAGCAACTGATATCATTAAATGATAAGTTAAGATATACCAGTTGGAAAGCCAAGGGTGTTAAGTCTGGACAATTCAGGATAAAAAAGCCCTAAAAGAAAGTGATAAGAGGTTAATTATTAACAATGCACAAAATATTTTATACAAAAGTAAAAAAAATAATGAGCACATAATCTGAGTGACAGTATTTGACACAATATGCTAACAAGCCTATACTCATCTTCCATTCATTTATTTTAGTCTGCCATGATAATAACTTCTTAAATATGTAAAGGTTAAAAACAAAATAGAAATACTACTAAGTATTTATGTATAAGTATAGTTTTATATGTGTGACAGGCATCATTTCAATTAATAACAAGCAAACATTTATTGTCCACTACATGCTGAAATATAAGTAAATATATTTTATATTTAATTATCTCTTTTATCTGTTTTTTTTTCATGTCTCTACTTCTATTTCTCTGTTATCTTTCTATTGGTCTAACATCTATCTAAAACTTCTTGCTTAAAGATGCCAATTTCTCCCAAAATTCATATATTGGAGCCCTAATTCCCAATGTCATGGTTTTTAGAGGTGAAGCCTTTGGGAAGTAATTAGGGTTAGATAAGATCTTAAGGGTGGAGCCCTCATGATGGGATTAGTGGCCTTCTAAGAAGAGGAGAGGAACAGAGCTCTCTCTCTCTCTGCCACGTGAGGATACAGCAAGAAAGTAGCTGTGAACAAGAGACCTCTCACCAGGAACCAGATCAGCTGATGCCTCCATCTTGGACATCCTAACCACCAAAACTGTGAGAAATAAACATTTGTTGTTTAAGCCAATCAGTCTATGGTATTTTGTCACAGTAGCCCAAATTGTCTAAGATATGCCTGGTGTCCCCAGTATCTTTAATGCTCCAGGGAGGTTGGAACATTTGTTTCTTAAGGATCTTAGACTGGGTAGTGATCAACTGAATGAAACAGCTTGTAATGAAGAGAGGTGTTGCTGCCAATGCCTTAGGCTATGGCATGTACTATATAAGAATGAAAAGGTTCACGGCTAAAGAATCTTGGAATTGACAGTACTGGTTTCAAGACTGACCTCTTCTTAAAGAATTAATATTTGTAAATGTCTATATGTTAGTAGTAGACAAAAGTAGGTGTTCTTTCTTCTTGTCATTAAACATGTTCTCTTCTCTGCAGAACTGGTGGTACACTAAACTATGTAGCAGAAATGTGTCTGTCACAGTCTCTAATCATTCCACTTAGTGTGCTCAGATAACTAGTGCCTTTACATTTCCTTCTGCCTGGAAAGCTTTTCCCCCATCTATTCCCTTGAATTATCTTCTCACTGCATTCAGCAGCCTGCTTATAGTCAGCTGTCTGCTCATAGTCATCCAACTAGAGATGCCTTCCCTGATCAACTTATCATAAATAGCAACCTCTCAAACCAGTGCTCCACTGAGGGCTCCCTGTCCCATCCACTTCTTTATTTTTCTTCATAGCTCTTATCACCACAGGGCAGACATGTACAGATGTATGTATGAAAGCATGTATGTATGGTCTCACCCCACCCTACTAAAGTAGAAGCTCCATAAAATAGGCATTTTTTTCTGTTTTGCACACTGATACATAGTGAGATACATAGTTTACCACTGGTACATAGTGGGTTCTTAATAAATATTTGCTGAATGGGGGCTGGCCCAATGGCATAGCGGTTAAGTTCATGCACTCCGCTTCAGCAGCCTGGGGTTCGTGGGTTCGGATCCTGAGTGTGGACCAATGCATTGCTTATCAAGCCATTCTGTGGTGGCATCCCATATAAAGTAGGGGAATACGGGCACAGATGTTAGTGCATGGCCAATCTTCCTCAGCAAAAAGAGGAGGATTGGCAAGGGATGTTAGCTCAGGGCTAATCTTCCTCACAAAAAATAAATAAATCAATAATTATTTGCTGAATGAATGAATATCCAGGACTTCATGTTGCCTCATGGAATCCAAAGGACCTTCACTGTGGACTTCACCCTACCCACCACAGGTACCCTGGATCTCTCTTTTACCATCACAACATAAAACCTGTTTGTTGTGGTTGTCATTGAAGGGATGTGAAGAACTCCACAGCTCTAGGAATGTGGAGGCTTTCTCAATCTCTCAAATTGCTCTAACAACCTTTAAGCACTTATACACTGAGTCTGTATTATATTAATCAGTACATATGTTTTGTGTAAATTCTTATTCATTTAAAACCTGTTTCTTTAATAAGCCCCTGAGATGGATCAGAAATTATGACTTTTATTTCTTTTATATACCCCCACAGAGCTCAGGATTCTACTCTGGAGTCAAATATTTTTAAAAATAATATTAATGGCCGTGGAAATAAATTTTTTTCTTTACTAGCTCCACTCAACTCTTTAAAAGCTGTATTCTCCCTCCATTTAAAGCAGGCATCAGCAAAGAACAGTCTGCCACCTGTTTTTCTAAATAACGTTTTGTTGGAACACAGCCATGCTCATAAGTTTAGGTATTGTGTATGGCTGCCTTTGCACTACACAGCAGAGTTGAGTAGTTGTGACAGAGACCATGTAGCCCTCAAAGTCTAAAATTTTACTATCTAGTCCTTTACAGAAAAAGCTTGCCAACCTCTGATTTAAAATAATTCACTTCAAAACCAGATAATCTGATTTTTCACTTCTATTAATGGTCAACAACCTTGTTTCAAACCAATCCTCCCACTAAAACCAAAAAGGGAAACAAACATAACACAACAGAGGCTTGGGGAATTACCAAGGTAGCTAGGATTTAATAAACCAAAATTTCAGAGAGAAGGGAATCTCAGGGTGGTAAACACAACACTCAACATGATTTTTCTCCTCAAGTTATTTGCCTAACCCAAAGCTGTGGTCGAGAAGCTGAGTAGAACTATAGCCAGAGTTCTCACAGGGCTAGGGAGACAAAAATTGAAATTCAGGGCTTACCAAGAAGAAGGGGCCTCAGACTTGGTGTGAGATGGCTGAAAGGCTACAGCCATAGGAGAAAAAGTTAACAGGAAAGCGCTACAAAGATTGAAGCCCAGCACTAAACCAGTTTATTCTCTGATAGGATTAAGGTGAACATCCCCTCACCTCTCTGCCTGCCAGAAGTAACAATAAAAATTCTCTGGAAGAAGATATCATCTGGGGCCTCAAACTATCTCTACACAATACCTATCATGCAATAAAAATTAATATATGCAAAAAGAAAATGACTGGGTAAAATATCAAGAGAAATAATAAACCATAGAAACAGGCCCATGGAGAATCTACATGTTGGGTGTATTAGATGCGTTTAAAAAAAAATACAAACCTCAATTAATAGGCTCAAGAAATTAAATTATAAGATAAAGAATTTAAAGTAAAAATTTAAACAATATAAGTATTTAAATAAAAAATTTAGATTATAATAAAATAACCAAAATTAAAGACTTGGTAAAGGGTTTAACAGCAGATTTCACAGAGCTGAAAAAAGAATAATTGAACTAGAATTTAGGCAAGAAAAAAATACTTAGAATAAAGCACAGAGTAAAAGGAATGGAAAATACAGGAAAGAGAGTAAGAGATATATGGCACAAGATGAAAAAGTCTAAGATACAGGTAACTAGGTTCCAATAAGAGGACATGAAGAATGAGACAGGAGCAATATTTGAAGAGACACTGACAAAAATTTGCCAGATCTCATGAGAGATATAAAGCCATAGATGCAAAAAGTTCTATGAACCATAGGAAGATAAATACTTTAAAAACTACACCTAGGCACATCATAGTAAAACATCTTAAATTCAAAGACAGAGAAAATCTTAAAATCAGCCAAAATGAAAGACATCTATGTGGGCAGGACAGGATCAGCCTGACATAATCAGTTATAGCCTGAGTAGGGCAGGGAAGACATCCACCCAAGAGAAATTCCAGTGTAGGGTGAAAAAACCCAAATAATGTGAGGAGGGTGTCAACATAGGGGAGTGCCTAAGATCCCAAGCAAGGAAAGGAAGGATTATACATGTGTGAGGGGATGACAGCAAAAGAAGCAAGGTTGGTTACATATAGCAAATTGGTTGAAAAAGTAAATATGATAAGGATAATGGAAGCCAAATTTCTCCCTGTTGGAGAAGAGAGTTACAAATGGGAGAAAATTAGAATAACTCTTGTAGTGTTAGATTAGAATTGGATGTATTGCTATGAATTCAGTTTTCAATGTGTGTGTGTTTGTGCATATGCCAATTACCTGATTTTGCCCACTGAAAGAGTCTATAGTACCCTAATATCAATGAGCACCTAGCGCCCAGATCTTGGCTTCTCCACTAAAAATAACCAAGGGTCCTTGGAGGAATGACAGACTCCAGGGCTAGGGCAGAGAGAGTGCAGAATAAGCCTGGAAAAATGATGGGAATATGTCAAAAGGACACAAAAACCAATGAATGGGTTTTTAGTGAAATCTGGGGGAACTTTAGAATAAAAATAAATAATGGCATAACAGATTATACACACCAAATAAAATGGTTGTAAATTAATAAATAAATAAGTTGAAAATTTGATGAGAAAGAGGATTACTTTCAAAGTACCACAATACACTTACTAAATACAAATGGAAAAGAGTAACAGTGGAGAAGTCCTGAAGAGAGCACCTTAAACAAGTAATCAAAGTGAACACTATTAGTAATGGGATAAACTGAAATCATGTACCATGTGATAAGATAAGATTGAGAAAAAGTTTTTGAGATATCAGTGCCAAAGGTGAATGACCTATATCTAATCGTGAGAAATATAAGACAAACCTACACTAGTGGACGTTTTACAAAATAACTGGCTGTTACCTTACAAAGCTTCAAAGTCATGAAAGACAAAGAAAGCTGGAAACATACCAGCTTGAAAGAAACTAAAACGACTATATACAACATGTGACCCTGGATGGGATCATTTTTTTTATAAAGAACATTATTGGGTAAATTGGTAAAATTTGAATGGGGTCTCTTGATTGGATAGAGTAATGGATCAATATTAATTTCTTGATTTTGAGGGCTTCTCTGTGGTTATGTAGAAGAGTGTTCTTGCCTGCAGAAATATGCACTATAGTATTCA